CACCGTAGGAATAATATAGCCAAAAGGAGAGGAGTGAATCCCTTCGTCTGTAACCATTTTCTCTGTCCTTCCATTTTCCCCTTTCTGCCTCTCTGAAACAAAAAACCCTTGCCGGGTTTTCGCTAATTCTCTCGCTCTCTACAAATGGAGTCTCTAGATACCGCGGGTTGCTCGGTGGACGACCTCCTCAACCTTGACTTCGCCTCCGACATGGGGGAGGAAGATGACGATGACGACAAGAAGTCGGCGAAGCGTCTCCCTTCCGTAAGCACTAGCCGTTCCTCCTATGTAAGTCTCGTGTATTCTTCGAGTTTTTTCTTTTAAAAAAAAAAGCGGCCGAGTTTGTTGCTGAATCGGCCGGGTCTTGCGGTTTTGTAGGTTTTTTTGGGGGGCTAGGAAGGTTCTGACTCGATTAGGTTAGTCGACTCGGGCGAGTTGTCCGAGTCTGAAATGAGTTCCAAGAACGAGTCAGTGCGATTTCGACCCGGACGGCATTTTCAACGGCATACGAGATCTTATTTTTTTTAAAAAGGAAAAAAAAAAAAAAAAAGGAACAAATTGATTTGGTAAGATCACGAGGTGCTTGTGAACGAATAAATTTACCCCTTTGGACAAGCCATGTTTCTCCCATTTTGACCTTGTAATACTCCTGGCATGGAGTTTGTGTCAAGGGTAGTTTTGGGACTTTGGATTTCGTGGACACGTCATTATTGTTCTGAGCTGTTCCTCCTTTAACGACAGTTGTAACAATAATTAATATCTCTGGGGTCCACGCTCCATAATGTAGATTACCGTTATTGCCCCCATTCGAGAGTTTAATTTTCAATTTTTACCATCGCAAAGTTGACGTTTGCTCTAAAACGGCACCGTTTGTACCCCTGTTAAACAGTGCTTCTGCATGTATGGTTGACATGGTTTTGCTTGTCGAGTCACTGAGTCAACTCATTTTTTGTTATGAAGAAAAAAAAAATTGATGTAATTTCTCTACCTTAGCAGGAAAATGTTGGGGAGGAGGAACTCGAATGGATATCAAACAAAGATGCATTTCCAGCAGTGGAAACGTTATTCGTCGACACTTTACCGGACCACCATGGAGCTGCAATGAAGCACGAGAGCCCGGTATCTGTTTTAGAGAACAGCAACAGCAGCACCAGCACGAGTACCAATGGCAGCACTGCGACTAACGGGAGTCTTGTAATGTATTGCTGCGGTAGTCCCCGGGTGCCAGTGAAGGCTCGTAGTAAGTGCCATCGCAGGTTACGACATGACCTTTGGACTAAGGACGGCTGGTGGGTTCATGAAAATGCGAAGAATGCGGCTGTGACGAATATGGGAAGGAAGTGCCAGCATTGTGGAGCTGAAAAGACTCCCCAGTGGAGGGCTGGACCGCTTGGACCCAAAACACTCTGTAACGCTTGTGGGGTGAGGTATAAGTCGGGGCGGCTTTGTGATGAGTACCGCCCTGCTAGCAGCCCTACATTTTCAAGCCAGTTACACTCTAATTCGCACAGGAAGATATTGGAGATGAGGAAACAGAGGCTGCAGCAGCCGCTGAGTATGTTGGTGGTGAAACCTGTGGATAAAGGGTAGGATATAGTTGAATATTGTTACTTCAGTTTAGGTACCTTTTCTTTTCTCTTCTTTTCTCCTCTTTTCTTTACGGTCTAGGGGTTTGGTCTGGTGTAATGGGTTTAGATGAATTTGTGGAAATTACTTTGTTTTGATGAATGAAAATCGATTAGGGGAATTTTGACTTCAGTGTGGTTTATTTTACTTCTTGGTTGTTTATTCCTTAGAGTAGAACACAAGAGTAATGTCGTTGGTTTTGTCCGATCTTTTAAATTCTTTGCTCTTAGTGGCTTGGATTAGAGTCGATGGTTTTGGGGGAAAATAATAATTGCAGGAGTGAGAGCTTTGTGAATTTGTATGTGGATTGAGAAGGGTACAGTGGTTCTCATGTTGGGTTGTTTCTACCAATTGGCTTGTTCTGGACAGTGGGAGAATTGCTATTGAAAACTGTAACACAGATTAGGTTCAGTATCTGTTAATCCTCTTATGAATGTAAGTCTTAACCATTATCTTACTGTTATATAATCTTTAATCCACAAAAAATGCTTTTGTTTTTTATGTTTACACAATTGTGGTTTCTTGAAGTTGAGGGGATTTTTATGATTTATCGTGCAATTATGGTGTGTCATTCTTTGTTCTTTCTATGAGGTTCATATGTATGTCGATTGTATTGTGTTTGGTGTTGAGAATCATGTCATTAAATCATTAATTTAGCCTTGTATAAAACCTTCATATTCTGCATTTTGGGAATGTATTGACCAAAGGGTGAAGTCTTGAAACATCCCCAATGGATCATGCTTATGCTTAATCTGATGGACCGACTGCAAGGTTTGTATCAGCTCTACCATCTCTATTGGCACGCTAGGGAAGTGGTAGTGTGGTTAAAAATGTCAGCAGGGCATCAAAGAAGAATTGCAGCAGTTTGTGCATATTTTGCAGAACTGTGTATAAAGTTTGTTGAGCATGTCTCCTTCCCCTTGTAGGGTCTGGTGTTATGTGGATTATTACAAGATTACATGGAGAAACCGTCATTCCTAGGTGGGGAATCTTGAATTATTTGGATAATGTGAGCCACATGGGTTTGTTTTGTCCAAAACATGGTTCGTCATCATTGCACATGGGAAACTTCTAACCACTTTGGAAAAGAATCTAGGTCTCGAATGAAATCTGGATGTGGGTTGTCTCACAGTATGGCTAACAGGACTATTGACTTTACTGATCTCTTCTTTCAGAAGCATGTGATGTGATATAGTTGGGTTAGGCTGTAGTATATTGCCATTTGTCATGTCAATTATATGTGTGGTTCATTGGGTAGCACTAGCTTTTGGAAATCTTCTTTATTTTTTTATATTAATTTTTTTTATATTTGATAATTATATTTGATATTAATTAATTCAAAATTAAGTCAAATTGAATCTTAACAAAAGAGAAGTTTTAATGTTTATTTTTTTATTTATAAAATTTAAATTTAAAATTTTTTATAAAATAAATAAAAAAAATTTTTTACTCAAATCAATATGTTTTTGATTGAAAATCTTTTTCATTGAGAAAGGACAAATCAATCAATTTTAATAGTTGTGCTGAGCGGCATATTCAATTGGCCAATTCTGGAAGCTGACTCATGGTGCTTTCTGTTTTTCTTTCACAATAAAAAAAAGGTCAATAGCCTCGTAGAATGGTAATGCCAAGATTGAGATAGACCGAGAGAGTGCTGTGGTGTGTGCTACTTTTTTCCAATATAATCGAGAGTGTCATACTTTTCTTCTTTACTTTTTCCTCCAAGGAGACTCCATGGTGTGAAACACCCCAATAATGTTAAGAGTTGTTTTGAAAAACTGTGTATCATAGAAAAGTAAAGAAAAACAATAATAAATGCACAAACTTTCTCTTCCATAAAAGTATAAAACATAGAGATGCCAAATCTAAATCTATACCTGAATGGAAGCTACAAATTATATGAAACAAAAGGCAAACTACTTGGTAGAGCAAGTGGTTAACTCACCTTGCTTGCTTCTTGTGGGATGCACCAAGTCTAGAGTTTGAGACCTTTCTCATTATTCCCTACCCCTTAAATAGTAGTGTAACGTAATAATTGCCTTAGTTCAGGAAAAAAATGAAACAAAAGAAATTGAAAATGTTGACCTCATATGGTAACAACAGAGATTGCAATTTGTCATTAATATAATTATAATGCACATAAAATTATAAA